ATAGGCTCTCTCCAAGAGAGGATGGGAACCTGGCGAGAGGCAACCATCACTGTAGACAAGGTGGGCCAAAGCTGCTCATCGCCAAAAAGGTGGACTAGATCCTCATCATTAGTCATTCAAGGGACTGAGGCCCCAGGAAGGCAGAGATCACAATCAATGAAAAATATCTACTCTGGAGGGTGCAGACTTATGACCAGTGGACCAGATTTGGGTAGGAGACCTGTTTTGTTCAGCCTGTACCTTGTTTTCCAAATAATTAAATTAGTTTCTGACCTTAAAAAAATTGGGGCGTGGGCCCGGCCCTGTGGCCAAGTGGCTAAGTTTCCGTGCTCCACTTTGGCAGCCCAGGGTTTCGCTAGTTTGGATCCTGCACACGGACATGGCACCACTCATCAGGCCTTGCTGAGGTGGCGTCCCACATGCCACAACCAGAAGGATCCACAACTAAAATATACAACTATGTACTGGGGGGATTTGGGGAGAAAAAGCAGAAAAATAAAAGACTGGCAACAGTTGTTAGCTCAGGTGCCAATCTTAAAAAATTAGGGGAGTCTTTTTACATAAAAATACAGATTTCCTGCTTCTCTTGAAAATTAGAATATTGGGTAACACTGGGCCTTCGTTCTCACCTGGCTGCCATCACGTGTGGCTAAAGAGCACCTGCCTATGATAGATGGGGCATGGCTTCCCAATGTATCACAGGCCAGTCATCAGCTTCACTCATTTATATTATGCCCTTTGGGCTCATCCAGGAATAAAGTGAATGAAGTTGAGGCTCACTAATGTTGTGTTTGCCGAGATGGAGGTCTGGGTTTGGTCTCTGCAAAGTTTTCAGGTTCCTAAATGATAACCACGGACCCTAGACAGCACCCATCTAAATCATAAATGTGACAGGCTCAAAAGATACTGGAAACACAGTGAATGACCACCAGGAAAGGAATAATTGCACAAAAAGTGGCACATTCATACAATGGAATATTATGTAGCTATTGAAAAGAATCAGGTCAATCAGTGGCTCTCAACCAGGGACAATGTTTATCCCTGAGGAGACATTTGGTAATGTCTGGAGACATTTTTGGTGTCACAACCTGGGCAGGGGGAAGGGCTAGGTACTGCTGTGATCTAGAAGGTAGTAGACAGCGATGCTTTAAACATCCTACAATGCACACGACAGCCCTTCCACAACAAAGAATTCTCCAGCCCAAAATGTCAATAGTGCTGAGAAACCATGAGTTAGCTCCGTTCTTGTTAACATGGAGAGATTTTCATGATGTTAACTGAGAAAAGTAAGATGAAGAGCAGTGTACATACACCACTGTTAATATAATGACAGAAAAAAAATATGTACATGAATTTAATCAACAGCATGTGATATTATTTGCATGAATTAGGTATTTCTGTGTCTATATGCATAAAAACTTTCATGAAGGGATGAATAGGTCACCACATATTAATGGGAGCAGGCTCAGAGAGTCAGCATTCCAGGTGATTTCTACTTTCCTCCTTATGTTTCTTGGCATCATGTGAATATTTTTTTTTAATGGATGTGTATTATTTACATAATCAAAAGAGCACAGTACAGATGTTTTTCTTTGTGAAAGAAATCAATAGATAATTCACACACATGACCTTCAATAATAAATTTGTCAGTCACCCCACCAAACCTTACTCCTGTGCTGTTAACAAAGACAGTTGTAATCGATTGTCATCTCCCTCTTCTCCCTTCCCCTGCTCAACCTCAAAAGGGCCTTGCTCACCAAGGGCCAGAAAAAGGGCAGATGTTTCTAGCAAGAGGAATGCAGACAGCTAATCAGCTAAAGAGTCAGCACTCTACAGCCAGAGTCAGGTGGCAATCAATGACCAAGCAGCTCATAGGACCATCGCTCCTCTTCCCCTTCCTAGTCAATAAGTTTCTCCTGTGTGCAAAGAGTTCCCATAGAGAGAAGAAAGCCAGAGGACACAGGCCCTGCCCTTAATGAGCTTGCACACTATTTAGAGATAGAAAACACACAGCAGAATTTGGTGAACTGGGAGCCAATAACAAACCCCAGCGCTCTCACCGCCCAGCTCTGCCGGGCATCAGGTCAGCCTCCCTGTTTTTATATCATGCCAGCCACTCTGGGGTCTAGAGAGCATAGCTTTCTGCAATGTCAGAAGCTCCAAAGGGCAGGAGCTCAGTCATGCTGCATCTGTACCTGCTGGAGGAGACACCAGTACAGGGCCAAAGACTGCTCCTGTGAGCAGCTCTCAGCTTCCCTTGCTTGGCTATCACAGCATCATCAGCTTCTCTGCCCCACCTCCCAACTCCTTATGCACCACGTGTTATTAGTCGGTGCTGAAAACAGGTTAAGTCTATCCCTAAAATGAATGGCTTTATGCGTATTTGTAAATAGCTGTCTGAATGTGTGGAACTTACTTTTTTAAGAGCATGGGAAAATGCACATACTGTCACCATAAGTAGTTATGACTACGCATATCAGTAGGCGAAGTTTCAGGACCCATGAGATGATGCTTTGGGATCAGCGTGACAATGTGTAGTTAGCAATGAATATATTATACATACCATTCAACAAGGTAACTTCAACACTAGCCAGAGAAGTTAGCCCATGTGCATGATGATAAAAATGAGCTTCGGAATGGCACTATGTACCAGATATTTTGCTAGGTGCTTTCTAAGCACGTCTTTAAACCTCACAAAATCCCTGCAGAGAAAGTCACATTATCCTCACTTAACAGATGAGGAAACTGAGGCTCAAAACAGTTAGATATACGACCCTGTCCACATAGCTGTTAAATGTGAGGGCCAAGATTCAAACCCATGTCTGTTTAAATCCAATGTTGTTTCCATATACGATGCTTTATCCATGTTTACTCCACATAACCCAAGATAGCTCATGTAAAGGGGAGTTCACAGTGTGAATCAGAGGAGCTACAATCAAAAGCTGGTGTTTTCTGGAATTTATGCTTATATCAAATACTTGTCTGCCCTTTAATGAGTAATAGTCAATTAATTACATGTCACTGGGTAAGTAAGGTGTAATATCCAAAGCTGAATATCCTAAGCATCAACATCTGGGAGATCCACTTTAGTGAAACTATAGATTTTTATGGTTTTGAGCATAACTAGTAGTGTTTCATTTCTCCTCAAGTATGATGAAATAGCCAATGATGTTGGGACAAATAGAAAAATTCAAGGGAGGTTATCATCAATTTCATATTTCCAGTTCACGCAAGGATTAATTCCACTTATAGAAGTATGAAGTGGTGCTCATTATGATTGAGACCTTGTGTGCATTTTCTGCGATGGGCAGGTTACCATCAAGTTAAAATGCCCTGAACAAATACAATGGGCATATCAGTCTCAGCCGGCTTCACTGAGACCAGCTTCTCGTTAACCACAGGAACTAGTCTCCTAGGAGCCTCCAGATCAGGTGTCCTGCTTGTGTTATGATGACAGTTTTGCTAACTTCATAAATAAACAGTGTTTCCCAACAGTTTTTATACTTTTTAAACCTTATGCCCCATTTGGTGAATATAATATTCTTATAGTTCCCCCTCACCAAAAAAAATTGAATACTAAACCCTCCTACTGATAATCTCTATAAGCTCTAAAGATAGTCTATCTTCAGAGTATCTTCACAAAGTAAGGCTGGTTTGTCTAGCTTATTTTCTACAGTTTTATTTAAGAAGATAACATTGTTTTGTTTTATTTGGCTTAGTCTTGACATTGCATCGTAATAGTGAATATACTTCTAAAACTGTACAACATGCCTGCCCCTTCCTCAGAAAAATCCCGATTTTTTATAGAAGGTCCTGGCACCCTTGTTGAAATTCACAGTCCTGAAGTTTAATTAACTACAAAACAGGAGAAGAAACTGTGTAGTTTTATCATGAGACATATTCTCTCATACTTGACAGGAAAAGAAAGTGCTTGAGAAGAGAGGAGCTGAAGATGAAAACAGAAGGAAGATGGACACTTTCCTTCAGAGGAGCAGTCCAGAGCTCCCTCTCTGGAAGGTGGAAGGGCCTCATAACTTGGTCCTATTTACCTAGGAAACTGAGTAAATGTCCAGCTTTGCATGAAAGTGATGACACCCGAGTGGTTTCCACAGACCCTGCTCACTCTCACTCCTTCTACGTGCTAAGGAAGCAGGCGCACTCCTGAACCCACTCTTCCTTTCTAAGACAGAAGAGATTTATAAGAGGGAAAGATGAAAGAAGAGAGGGAAATGGCAACAGGGAGAAGAAGACTTATGGAAAGATAAGGAAGGTATAAAAGGAAAAGGAGGAGAAAGAAAGGGAAGAGCAACTGATGCAGGCATCCAAGAAGTTTAGACCATAGAGAATAGGAGGGATCCTTACAACAACAGTTTTCCCATTGGTAACAATAACTACCATTTATTGGACTCTTGCTGTGTGAAATGATTGGATGGATGGATGGATGGATGGATGGATAAATAAGTATGCACATATACATACATACATTTAATTTAGTTTAACTTCATTCCAGTTAACTTAATCTTAACAAATACCCATGAAAGGGATATTCCTATCGCCCTTTTACCGAGGATTCTGAGACTCATAGCTAGTAACTTCTCCAAGGTAGCAGAACTAGAATTGAAACCCATTTTGTCTGGCTCCAAATCTCAGGCTGTTAATTACTATACCACTTGTTTGTAACAAATGCCAAAGAGTGTATACTCTTAGTTGCATATTTTCCTGTTCAAATTAGTCATCTTGAGACTTTAAGCTGTTCCAATGATGTTGCCATTGATAAAAATAACTTGGGGATCAACTGTTGAAACTTCTATTATAACCTTAAGTACATTCTTTTGACTATCTTCATTGATGATATCTCTTCATACTTTGAGAGAAGAACTTATTTAGGGGAGAGCAAAAAGTCACTCAGAAAAAATCTGGTCAAAAACTACGGATGACACCGCTAGGTAATATCACCTGAGATTTGAAGAAAAAGAGTGTAATTATTTTGTGTGTCTTACCTTCTATCTCAGAGAAATTCCCAAAGGAGACTTGCCAGCAGATTCTGATCAATGGCCCCATCACTGTGATAAATACAGAGACCTAAGACATCCCTTCAAAGTTCAATATTAAACTGGTATATTTGTTAAAACACACTCTTGTGACAATAAAGTCATACCTTAGTCATTCTTCAGAGCAAATCAATTTGATGTTGCTTTAACTACTGGTGAATTGAACATTCCATAAAAAAAAGAAAAAAAACCCATTAAGAACTTAATAGTCTTTGATGTTAATACTGTTAAGATATCTTGTGCCCTAACTTCTTGCTGAAAAGTTCAAAGAGAAATGATAATGCTCTTGGGGCATTATCACCTTTGAACTTCAAACTTCTGATCTTTGTGAGCAAGATGGTGGAAACTAGACCTTTGAGATAGAATGGTCTACCCACCTCCTGCCCGGAAACTGACTAACCTCGGAGCATCTAACAGAGTTGCTTCTAATACATTTGAAGAATGGCATCATATTGGGGCCGGAGAGTTTCCTCTGCTGTTCATGGTCCATGTAGCAGGTGCTCTCCTCTAAATGGTTACTGTTTTTCTCAAGAGCTGCCAATTTTCATTACAGCAATGGACTGGAGGAGTGCTGAAATGCCATATGAAAAGAAAATTACTGGGCAGCCCCCTTTTTTTCCCATTAGAATTTCAGCAAAGCGAGTAAGGTAAGGGCAGACAAGATAATGAAGGGGTTGCCCAGGCATTTATTTCACTTTCATTTTTCCTTTGAGAAAGTATTAATAAAATTAGCAGTGTTAACAATAACAGTAAGGATTATAAAAGAACATTTATCAACAATGTACAATTTTCCTACTGGAATGTATAATAAAACTTTTCAAATGCAAATCTCCTATCAATGAACATATACAGGGGCAAGATAAAGAAGCAGAAAAAAATGACATTAAGCTAATTCTCAGTCATCTCTGAAAACTAAAAGGATAAAAACTTTTAGTTAGCTGACAAATCTCCCCAAACTTAAACTTTCATTCATTTTCACTCTGTCAAGACTTTAGCCAAAGCTCTTTACAAGGAATCATGCTAATTCTTTAGAATTTCAGGGATTGGGTAAAAATCATCAATGCTTTCGCATCACCCACCACACAAAGCCAAAAATCTTCTTACGTGCTGATCTGGTGGTGTAGCGGTTAAGTGCGCACATTCCGCTACAGCGGCCCGGGTTTCGCCGGTTCAGATCCCAGGTGCGGACATGGCACCACTTGGCAAGCCATGCTGTGGTAGGCGTCCCACATATAAAGTAGAGGAAGATGGGCATGGATGTTAGCTCAGGGCCAGTCTTTCTCAGCAAAAAGAGGAGGATTGGCAGCAGTTAGCTCAGGGCTACTCTTCCTCAAAAAAAAAAATCTTCCTACATGTCCCTCCAAACTCAGGCCCTATCCAACGATAAAGCCCTCCATAATCCGGCCCACTGTGCCCCCAGAGCCATTTCTCTTTTTGCCCATCACAAATCCCCAGCTGCAAACTGCTCCCTTGAAGGTCTGTGATGCTCTCTCCTCTATTTTTTTCCTGCCCAAATCCTCCTCATCCTCTGAAACCTTTACAACTCCAATGCTGCCTCTCCTCAGCCTTGTCTTTCCCTTCTAAATCCCACCAACCTCTCACCTCTCTCATGTAGTGTGAACCAACAATTCAGAACCTGATAATGAGCCATCTTGAATGGATCACAGCTTTTTCATGGGTACCACCTCCCTAGGTGAACAGCCTGCCCCCATAAAACAGAGACAGTACAGGGCTCACACACATGGTAAGCATTATTGATTGCATGATAGTCTCTATGGCCCTATTCCTCCTTCTGTGGAGATACAAACAGGTCAAAAGATAGGCAGAGAAAGACAAGAAAAAGAAAAAAGAGAGGCGAGGGACCTAGATACTCCAGAAACTGGACAATCAACTGACAATGGTCTGAATAAGCCTGAGTTTACTGTATACATAAAGGAAAAATATACAGATGGTCACTGCAATTTACATTAAAAGTGTTTTGAGAAATATGATGATTTGTTAAACGCTGATCCAGCAAACTGAATGTACAGGGTACTTCCAGGAAAAGCAAATAAGTAAACATAAAATATTTCCTGAAAGCAAATAGTAAAATCATAAATATGCTAAAGAAAAATTTCTCCCCAAAATCATTATAAACTCAAAGGGTAAATTCATTACTGAGATATTCAGACATGCTAATGATGTTGATTGTCCCTGCTGATAATAAATGAAAACACTGAAGTCTTCCAGGAACATGACAAGTGCCATTTTCACACAATCATTTGAAACCTCCATCTGTCTTTCAAAAGGCTAAGGGTGCATTGGATCCTTCATGAAAAGCCCAAGGAGATGCTGCTCACAGCAAGAATGATGCTAATATTTCTATCAAACCAAAGCAATAACAATTACTTGAAAATGCCAAGTATCACAATAGAAAGCAGAACTGGTGTTAATCTGGAGATGGCAAAATCCATGGCATTTTGTGTGATGAAATGGTGTCCATCTTACTGAAGCAAACTCCGTGAGCACAGCACCAGTTCTCGCCTAGTCATTTTTAAGGCAGCAAAGTTTCATAAATATAGAGGCTGAGACTCAGCCCAAGGCCAGTCACCAAGAGCGATTCTATAACTAGAACATGTTGCAGGCCAACCAACTTTTTCATCTTTTACCCAGATTTTTTACTCAACAATATTTCTGAAAGGGTCTATAACATAGGACATTGTAAATTTCAACATGTTACCAAGAAATGATTTTAGGAGATTAAATACCAAAATAGTATAAGATGTATGTCTCTAACCCACTCCCACTCAACAAAAATGTCCTTGTATGTATTTGTTTGAAAAGCATATGGAAATAGAGAAGTAAGACACAGATACTGAAAAATACTTCTTAAAAAAAGGCACAGCATAGAAGACAACTATATTTACATTTCCATCTGAACACAAATGACCACAAAAGGATTGACACAGGACGACCAATTAAAACCAAACTTACTCACCCAGCTTGCCAACGTCACACTCAGTTTCAAATAAATAAATAAATAAATAATGACATTTCGGTCAACAATGGACCACATATACGATGGTGGTCCCATAAGATTAGTACCATATAGCCTAGACGTGTAGTAGGCTATACCATCTAGGTTTGTGTAAGTACACTCTGATGTTTGCACAATGACAAAATTGCCTAGCGATGCATTTCTTAGAACATAACCCTGTCATTAAGTGACTCATGAGTGTATATAGATGTGTATATGTGGAGACTAAAGAGTCTTTATTTTATTATACTTGGGGAATTCACTTTGGGAGTCAAATCAGCATTGATCAAAGCTACCTTCATACCCCGATGGACTGATCTATGCTGACTAAATAATGCTTCCACCTTCCATTTTGCCTTGTTGACTTGGGCTTCTTCTACATGAGCAACACATTTAAGGAAGTGTGACCAGTCATTTCTATGATTCCCCATGCATGCAACAAATATTTACTGAGTATCTGATACATTCCAGGCCCTATGAACAAGACAGATCCCCACCCCTGCCCTCATACAGCCTACTACCCAACAAGCATAGAACAGTCAATTTTTAGTGAGATTTGTGCTACTACAAAGTGCAGTATTTTGCAAAACCTTAAAGCAAGCAATCCAAAGTAGCTAGAGTGATGGAGAAGACGCCATTGAGGAAATAAAGTCTAAGCCGAATTTTTAAGTTGAATAGGAGTTGGCTGGGTGAAGGGCAGAAGGGAGGATGGGAAAGTGTCCCTAGTAGAGAAAAGTACATCTGCCAAGGACCAAAGGCAGGAAAGAGCTTTGACACGTTGCTGAAGGAGACCCAATATGCCTAGAAAGGAGAGAGTGAGTAGGCAGGAGAAGCAAGGAGGGGCCAGATCATATAGAACACTGAAAGCCACATTGAGGATATTGGACTTTAAACCATGATGTTTTAGGCCCAGGAGTAACATCAGTAGTTTGCATTGATAACAGTCATACAGGTTGCTTTAGGGAGACTGGGTGGAGGGTGGGCGGGGAGCAAGATTGGCAGTAATGACACTAAGAGGCTCTTGCAGGAGTCAAGGAGAAAGAGAAATAGCTTGCACTAGGCTGAGGAGAGGAAGAAAACAGATTCAAGAGATACTTAAGGAGAAGAAAGAACAAGATTTGGTGATGGACTGGTGTGGAGACTAAGGGAGATAGAGGAGCCAAGGTGGACTCAGAGGTCATTGGACTGAGGAACTAGGTTGGTGGCAGGGCCACATACTGAGGTGCGGTAGCTTGGAGGAGAACCAAATCTTAGGGCTAAGGGATGGATGAATAGAGGTTATAATCCTGAACATCAGACTTGGTGTCCTGCAAACAGGACATGTTAAACGTAAAAATGTGTTGATAAAGAAACTTAGAAACTTCTCCATCAATCATGGAACTACATAGTAGGAGACCACTAAGGAATTGCGCAAATCTTCAAACAGAAATAGCAATCTATGGGAACCAGCCACCCCAAATTCAAAGGTACAATGTTAGTCCCAGCAATTTCTCAGTTATTACTGGCATCATTAATACTCCTAGAAACACGGGATTTGTCCATCTGTGTCCTGGGCACAAGTCTCAAGGTCCTTTTAAATGTAGAATTCACTTTGAAGGCCAGTGTTCTGGAGCAAACAAATCCATCGGTTGCTCTAGATTTTATGTTAAGATTTTTAAAAAGTTCGTGGGAATGCCAGAGGTCTTTCGAACTTTTTCATCGAACAGGGACCCCTGGAGTTTGTATTGATTGGGTAAGATGGAGCAGAAAGCTTTCATTTCCCCCAACTGTCTACTTCTTTGTCATATTTCTCAAAAGATCATTCACTTAATTATTTTAGCCCCAGTAAAATTGGGTGAAAATAACAATTTTTAACTTGTTTATTCTTAAACAATTCTTCCACACAAAAATAATCAATTCCTGAAGCTCTTGGATCACACACTCAATAGTGCCCAGGCTGTCATCAGCCCAGGAGCCTTTCCTCTTGGCGGCCGTATGCTCAATAGGCACCTTCTGC